TTTTCCCCCGAAGAAAATACGGTTGGATTATTCAGAAGGGCCTTTGGGAATAAATAATTTTCACTGTTCTTTTATTGAATCTTATTTTATATCCTGCCTTATTATTATTTTCTTTATAAATAACTCAGGGTGGCAAACGTAGCTAATACCCTTCCTCTTTCTATTTTTCGCATAACAATCTTGTAATGTGGGATGGGCTGAAGGAGAGTGACTTTTAAAAAAACAATTATTGAAGTGGAAAACTGGCACTCAAAAGACATAAAATATTTTAAAAAGCACAATATAAGACAAGAATAAGCATAGTTCATGTGTTGCATATAGTCTATAACAGTGGCTCTCAACCTGTGGGCCGGGACCGCATTTGGGGTCGAATGACCATTTCACGGGGGTCACCAAACAACGCAGTCCGCTATTTTTCCCCCCTTTTCCTTAGCTGTGCTACTCCCTTTTATTCTATTGGCTTTTGAAAGCCAATAGAATAGACTCTCTTGAATAGAGTCTAATTCTATTGGCTTTCAAAAGCCAATAGGAATTGTCCAGGCTGTCTCTGCCCTGCTGAGCCCGCCAAAAGTCCCATTCTGCAAACGGTGCTGCAAGTTGTCTGCAGCGAAGGCGAGCTGTCTGGAAGTTTCCACCCCTCCCTGCTGAGCAACTACTAAAAATGTAAGTAAAAGAGGGCCAGGGGTGGGAGGTGGGAGGCTGGTGGGTGCAGGGAGGGTTGCTGGCGCATGTGGGGCCCGGCGGGTGCCTTACCTCCCTTGGGCTGGGCCAGCTGGTGGCCCAGCTGGTGGTTGGCCTGCGCCATCTCTGCCGCTTGCCAGCTATGCCTCGGCTGGCACAGGGGGCGGCACCACACATGCGCGGCGCTCCGGGGAAGAGAAGGTCCTCGACTTACGACCGGTTGGGGGTCGCGGCATTAAAAAGGTTGAGAACCACTGGTCTATAAGGTAGTTCTGTTCAAGCATCTTCTTTGATCAGCTCTGGATTATCCTGAACATCTAAATCAAGATAAACAATTTAGGACCCTCTACAAGATCTGACTCACATGTCCCATAATCCCTTATCATAATCATGTTGGCAGTGTGCTTTATTGGTGCTAAAGTCCAACTGCAAATGTTTTAAAACAGCAGTCTGCAGTGACTATGTTTGAAAGTATGAATGTGTATGAGAGAGAAGGATAATTACTCTTTTCCTTTTATAATAGTTAATTGGTGTGACAGCAGCCATTTTGTAAGTATTTTTATACAAAATCAGCTTTTCTCATTCAGCTGAACAAACCATTCCATTATATGCTTTATTAATCACTCTTCAGAATCTCCTATTTAAAATGACAAGATAGTCTTAGCTGTTGAAGAATTGGTATGGTTCCTTCACAGTCCCTTCAGTCTTCTAAACGTGCTGCTTCTTTGAACAGTACAACTTGGATGTCCTTCTGACCACAGGGTTCAAAGGGGGGTTAACAAAGAATTCTTAAGAGAGGCAGTTATATATTATAGCTGGTTGCTTATATGAGATCTTCGCATTGAGAGGGTTTTCTAATTGCAGTGCAGCAAATAAGCATGGCTAGAGGATAATTTCCTTCCTTCCTTCCGTTATTTGCGAACTGCTGTAAATCGATGGTTTGAGATACATCCAGAACAAATAAGCAAACACTATTACTATCAAATTAAAAATAGCCAGGTTTTCCCTTGATGCCAGAATAAAATTAATGTTAATGTCAGTCTGGCTTCCCAAAGAAGAATATTGTATAGTTTTACTACCACACTTGAAACACACGTCTCTCACTTTATGCAAACTTGTGATGGACACTTTTGGTGGGGTCCAAGAGAAGAACTTTTTCTGCCTTGGCCTCTGTCCTTTGGAACATCTTGCCACCAGAGGTGAGACCTGCCCCCTCTCTTCTGACCTTCAAGAAAAGCCTTAAAACCTGGCCACGCCAACTGGCATGGGAGCTTGAAGGAGTAGCTAGGCTAGGGGTGATTGGTGCAGTAACAGTGAAGGCACCGCTTGCTGCTCCCCTCCAAACCCGTGTGATTGTTTTAAATTGCTTTTAATCCTCTGCAGTTTTAATTGACTTTTATATTTATAATTGTTTTATGTCTGTGTTTTTTATACGTTGTAAGCTGCCAGAGTTCTCTCAAACAATGAGATGGGTCGCATACAAATGTAATGAATAAATAAATAATAAATGAAGTAAAATAGTGTTCCATCCAGCTGCTGTATCCTTGAAAATCAACCAGTGCATATAATAAATGTTAGTCGTGTTAAGAGAGAATTTACTTATTTATAAGGTTTATAAGACTGTCTAATTCAAACAGTGTGACTCTGGGTAGGGTACCACATAAACAACAATAAATAAAAAGAAAAAAAGAACACTATATAACAGTGATGGCGAACGTTTTAGAGATCGAGTGCCCAAACTTCAACCCAAAACTCACTTATGTATTGCCGGGTGGGCGTGGCTACAGTGGTCATGGCAGACGGGTGGTGTGGCCAGCTGGATGTTGCTCCTGGGGAGGGACGCCTGTGGGGGCCGGGCAGGGTTGGGAGAGATCCAGGGGTCTCTGCCGGGTGGGGCGATGGGCAGGAGGCTGGTTCTGCGGGATGAGGCGAGGCAGGGCGGGGGTGCCATGTTGCAGGCCAAGACGAGGCAGGGGCCGCTGCTGCCTGACACCATCGGCCCCCGCACACAAAGGCCAGCGAGCACATGGGTGCTGGGATGCATCTGGCCATGTGGGCCTTTGGCAAGTTAGCGGGCGGCTGCTTGAAGAGGATGGTAGCCATCTCCAGGGCATGGCACACGTGTCCACAGAGAGGGCTCTGAGTGCCGCCTCTGGCACGCATGCCATAGGTTCGCCACCACTGCCATATAACAATAAATGGACAATATATAAATGTAAAATGGTGATGAATCATAACAGAACAACCATAGTGGGACTCCCATTCCATAGGTTTCTTATTAGATCTGGGGGAAGAGGCAGATCTTAAACAGTTTTCCTAAAGGCAAGAAGAGTTGGGAATTGCATATTGGGGGTGGGGGTGGTAAAAGCAGTGCAACAACATAAAAAGTATGCTTCCTAGGTTGCATAATATAATGGCAAGATTTAAAAGAAGGCTCCTGGAGCACACAGACTAGTGTGGGCATTTTCTCCATAATCGGGAATTACTGGGTTAGGTGAACCCAACCAAGATTGATCAAAAGCAGCATTGAGTAAGATAAGATTAAGATGTCATTGGCGACATACCTGCTTTTCAAAGAGAAATTCAATCTCACCTGGGCTATGACATTTATTTGAGCAGAGCTTCAAGGCAGACACAAGGTTTCTGTCTTCTGTATTTGGCTTGTTTAAAAAAATGCTAATTGGTGTTTTAGTAATTCAGTGTAAAATTATAAGACAGTCTGATGTTAGTCTACACACATTTAGGAATGAAACCAATCAGAAAAATTAAGTAACCATCATGTAAAGGTGATGTGTGAATATAAGAAAATATTTCCAGGAAGGTGAGGAGATTAACTGTTCTACAGTTCAATAGTTTAAGTGGTATGGGGAAGCTTTATAGAAAAATACAAATCATGAATATTTACTGCAGTCATTGTAGAGAACTAAATACATATGAAAGGGATATCAAGCTTTTCTCCAGCTGAATGATAAACATATACAACTGGAGCAGTTCAGTTTAGCTTATGATCAAAGATCTGTACAAGTAATGCACAAACAAGATACAGGACAAGTTAAAATACATTAATATAATGACCTAACTAGCATCTAATAAGTGAGATCCAAGATACAGCCTATGTTAAACTGTTTTGTAAATATTAAAATTATATTAAATATAACATCTAACATTGCAGCCAGATAATGAGCAAATAAAATTTAAGATAGGGTTAAAATGCATTTTTAGAATGGGCTAACTAGCATCTAATAGGTAAAATCCAAGCTATAGCCTCTATTAGTTCATAATATAAGCACTAAAATCACATTAAATACAAAGCATCTAAAATTTACACCAAAGTAAAAGTATTTATAATTATTAAGTAACAACAAAGTAATAAATTATAATTACAGGATATGTACTACAGCAGGAGTCCCCCCTCCCCGGGCATGGGTGGCACAGGTGAACAAAACTGCACATGCGCAGGATCTAGGTTGTGTTCTCCTCCCCCCCCCCCAGGTCCCTGGTGTCAAAAATGTTGGAGACTGCTGCACTACAGGATGCTGGCCCATCAGGATTAAGTGGATCCTTTGCTTCAGAGTTTGTTTTGCCTATTCATATTCTGTCTTAAGGGCTTACTTGAAAAGGTTGAATTCAGCAGCCTGGATCCATGTAGCTTGAAAGTTGTCCAGAAAAAGTAATGATGCTAAGCCTAGAGGAAAAAGGTTGGTTTTAACCAAAAGTTTATAGAACCTAGACACTTTTATCATACCCGTCTCTAATTGTGCATGTGTTTTTGAGATACAATGTTCTTTTGCTGGGTATATTGGTAGATACCGAGTTTTTTATATATGTGGATTTTATTGTGATGTTTCAGTCAGTGAGTTATTGTTGTTGTGATTGCTGTCATATGTTGTACATGATTTGGAGGTTTGTAGATAGGCTGGAAATTAGTTTTGTCACACTCTAAAAGTGCGGGAAAATTAATTAATTAAGAAATCAAGGCGTACCTTTAGGCACATTGTATTTGTATAGAAAACAATGGAAAGCCAGGGTTTTGAATTGTATTTCTGGTCATTCTGCTTTATCATATACTGCAAAAAAGATATTCATATGCTTGTATTTAACCATAGCTTCTTATGGTCTGTTTGTTGGAGATAAAAGTAGTTTTGATTGAGCACTGGCCAATTTTAGGCATCTTTCCTTTCTCCTTTCATTTTCTTCTTCTGGTGTATTAATTGCATTTCACATTTGAATAATTGTGATTTCTGGAATACCTGAAAATACAGATTTTCCAGAACTATTTTTTTCTTTTGATATCTTCATTGTTCTTCTTATTTGTTTAGGCAATAAAAGAATTCTAATGGGAGCACTGTTCTGAAATTCGGTTTTGTTGGATGCCATTATGGGTGAGTTCCAGAAGTTACTAGGGTTTCAAACATGTGCCTGAGAATGTAATAATCCAATACTGAATTTAAATAATAGTAAATGATGAGTAATATTAAAACTCCGTGGGAGTTTTTTAAAATCACATTATTGTATGAATATAATAAAATACAGTTGCTGCTGAAGTAAAATATAAATGAACGAACACTACCAATACTACTATCTAATATCAAGTTGTTGAGATCCATATTATGAAAGCTCTTAAAGTTACAGTGCATACTATCCTTATTCTACTTATGCTTCTTAATTGATTAGTTTTTTATGATTTTTAAAAACCTAGTTTGAAAATTACATTTCCTTGTTTCATTTTTATTTAAATAGATGAACAGCAAGCTTTGAATTCAATCATGCAGGATTTGGCAGTTCTTCATAAGGCAAGTCGTCCTGCTTTGTCGCTTCAAGAAATGGGAAAGGGAAAGTTAACTTCACCCAAAAAACAGGTAATCATATACTGTGTTTGCCCAGCACAGTGAATAATTTTTGCCTATATTATAATTTTTACATTGATTTGTGGTATGTACATTTTAGAAATTGAAATGAAATGGTTTTAAAATTACATAACAGATTTTAGGTGCTGTATATACTAGTTTATTTTCTGTGTATTTCTAATCAGTATGATAACTAATAATGCTTCAAATGACTGGATAAAATTCACATACAATCCTTGCCTCCAGATACATATTTTTATAAGCTTGTGGAAAAGACATCTTTATCAATGCCACTGACCACAATAAATAAGTTTGTATAATTCTCTTATAGAATGATGTACGAGTCAAATTTGAACACCGAGGAGAAAAAAGGTAAACAGTAATTTATTTAAGCAAATTTCTGTTATTTTCTGAATATGAGAACTTTTTAAAAATTTTCACTGTTTCATAAGTTTATAGAATCTTGACAATTTAAAACTACCTAATCAACATCAGTGTTTGAAAACATAAGCAAACATTTCTTAAAAAGTCCTGTGCAGGTTATGGTTGCAATTGGTTCAGGAACTTTCATCACTTATTTATTTATTTATTTATGAGACTTATATACCGCTTTAAGTGCAAGCACTCTCTAAGCAGTGTACACCAGTAAGCAATGTCTATATATATTTACATTGCCCCCAACAATCTGGGTCCTCATTTTACCTACCCCGGAAGGATGGAAGGCTGAGTCAACCTTGAGCCGGTGAGATTTGAACCGCTGACCTGCTGATCACAGTCAGCTAAAGTGGCCTGCAGTACTGCACTCTAACTGCTGCGCCACCTCAGCTCTTTTTAAACATTTAAACAATGAAGTCCTAAGATGCAATGTTACATAACTACATTGTTTAGCAATAGCAGGTCCAGCAACCCCAGTAACTGTCTTAAACCCAAGACTATGTAGCAGGAAGAGTCAGGAGTCCCAGGCCAGCAGGTGGAATGGGGGACGCCGTGGGCAGAGGCTCCAAAGTGCAGGCAGATGGGCAGGAGATGTGGAGGACAGGGAAATGCCACAGGCAAGTATTCTAGTGTGCAGATTAGCATGCTGCAAATAAGTGCTATGGAAACAGGCAAATGATGGGGAAGGGTGTTGTAGGGAGGCCATACAGAATGTGGGTGAATATCACTGGGTGGCAGGGATGTCCCGGAGGCAGACATTACAGAATGCAGGCAGGTAAAAAAAGTGGCAAGAGTGGCTTTTGACTTCTATTCAGGCTCCCCATTAGCTTTGCTTCAGGGAAGCTGGCAGGGAATGTTGTAAATCATGATAATGTGACATGCTGCAATGACTGGAATTCTGAGGACTTGTGGTTAAGTCCCCTTGTTCAGCACTGTTATAATTTTGAACAGTCACTGAGCAAGTGTCATAACCCAACGCCTACCTATAAATGTATGAGGATTTTTGTTTTATTTTTAATTTCTGTTTAAAGAATAGATGAAATAATATACTATATTGTAATGTTTAGGTTTTTATTTCAGTCCAAGATAGCTAAATAGTTAGATAGACAGACAGTATTTTTTAGGATGGTTACGTAAGTTACATAATTAGCCTACTCAGCCATTAACTTAATAATTAACTTCAAACTATAGATACAGCAGAAATGTGGTAAGCTTATGGTTATTCTGGCAAACAGATTTTAATATGCTGGTATATTGTGTTCCATATGAAATTGTAAATCATATAGTACAAATTATTTTTTAATATATTCCTAAAATAATTCCTAGAACACTTGACTGAGTTAAAATGTTGCAAATTAAAATTTAGTTTAACTTGGTTTATCCTATTATACTTGTTGCAATTCTTAAGTAGGTCACTTCCTAGGATTTCTAATACTAGGAAATCTGTGTAGGCCTAGCAAAATAATCGTTTTACTGTCAACTAGCTCATTAGCTTCCTCTTACAGGGTGAAGAAATAAGATACAATTTGATTATTGCACTGTGCAATATTTTGAGATACTGTTATGTCTGCCAGTGATAGACTAGGTGTAATTCAAATTGAAATTTCTCCCTTTGGAAGGGAAGGATAAGGATAAGCCTTTATTTAGTCCTTGGTAGAGGCAAAAAAAGAAATGAGAGCTTGGTCCTCCATTACAATTGAATTCAGCTCATGTGGTTTATTTGTTGGGAAAAGTGGTTTGCCTTTTCTTTTTTTCAAGGTGGCACTGAAAATAAGTTTGACTTTCATAACTACAATTTGTAACTTCTTTCATTTTTGTAGATTATTTCTAAAAAAAGTTGTATCTTACTTTATAGAATCCTACAGTTTTCTAGACCTATCAAGCTAGAAGATCTTGCATCAAAAGCTAAAGTTGCCTTTGGACAGTCCATGAATTTGTATTACAGCAATAACGAGGTAAAATAATGTTTTTTAGAGTATTCTTTGTAATGTTGATATAGTGAAAACTTGGTGACGGAACTACTTGAAGCTCTGAAACATGTTTAAGGTTTGCAATAGGTTACACTCCATGTTGTGCCATTTATATTGTGGCTTTTTGTTTTCATAAAAATAATCTTTCTCATCAGATCATGTATTGATGTAATAAGATTTTCAGTGTATTTTGGAAACGAAATAAAAATATTTAATGCTGTATCTTTATTTTTAAAGAAATGTAATACAATTCCTTTGGAAGATATGATTGGGAAGTAAAAAATGTATATTATTAAATATAAAGTCTGTGAATTGGTTAGAGTTTGCAGAATATGATCACTGTGTAACTCAGAAGCAACAACCTTGTCTATAATGAGATATTAAAAGTATACTGTTATTAAATAATTAAACTAAATAAACAAGAGGAAGATTGAACAAAAACAACAAGCAGTTCAGCTTACTTTTCTGACTGTATTTAGGCAGAATCTAGAAATGCTATTACCTTTTAAAGTAATTTCTATAAGAGTTGGCAGAAGCTATTCATCCTTATAGATTTTATCTTCTTCATACTATTTGCCATTCTAGCTATGCCATGCCCTTCTCTAAATCTGTATATTTCACTGTATATTCACTAATTCAACTAATTCAGGTTTGGCTAAATAGTTAAGGCATCAGGCTAGAAATCAGAAGACCTAGTCCCATCTTTGGCACAAAACCAGCTGCATGACCCTGAGCCAGTTATTCCTTCTCAGCCCTAGGAAGGAGGCAATGGCAAACCATTTCCAAAAAGTCTTGACAAGAAAACTGTAAGAATTTAGTCCAAGCAGTCGCTAGGAATCAACACTGAGCTTAAGGCACAAACCTTTTCTAAATGTGATGTTTGCTGCCTTGAGTTCTTTATAAAAATGATAAAGGCAGGATATTTAGTTTGTGAAATAGATAATTAAATTTCAAACTATAAAATGTTAACATATATGTTTATGCTGAAATGTAAGTTATCTTTCAGGAACTCAATCAGGCAAAGCAAAGTTGCAGCGTTAAAAAAATAGATGATAATGATAATAAAAATATTTACTAAATATTGCTTAATAGTTAAATATTAAGAAATGTTTGTTTGTTTTGTATTCTGCCTTTAATATTTTTACAAATAACTCGAGGTGAGCATATCCAACAGAACTTCCTTTGCCTGTTTTTCCCACCACAACAAACCAGTGAGGTGGATTGGGGCTGAGAAAGAGTTACAGACCCAAAGTCACCCAGCTGACTTTCCTGGCTAAGGCAGGAGATGAATTTGTAGCCTGGTGCCTTAACATCTAGACCAAACTGGTTCTCTTAATATTTAGTATTTTAGTATTGGTTTGGTATTTTTTATTTTATTTTAGCATTTTAATATTGTTAGAAAGAAAAAAAAACACCAAGATATTTGCATTGCAGTTAGAAAAACTTAGAATATTTGATCAGATTGCTCAAAGTCCTTTTCCTTGCTCCTTTATGGAGAAAGTAATAGTTGACATGATGAAAATAGCACATTTCATTAATGTGGTGATGAAAATAAAATGTGGATTTATTTTTCTTTTGCCTATTTCCCTGTATTAAGTCCTTAATTTATTATGCCTTGCTAAATTTCAAAAAGTATAGCCATAAAGAACATATGCATCTTTAACAAGTAGCTTTGGGATATGGGAAAATCTGGTTAATTTTTAATATGGATACATCTTTCCACTGACTACAGATCCTGCTTAGCTAAATTGTCATAATTAAATATGGTTCATTTCTACCCTTTCTCTATCACGCTGTCTCTTAGTTCTGCTAAAAGACAGTTGGTATTGTACAGTTAATTTTCAGGTCACAAAATCTATTGTGTATATACGTTATTTATATTTAACTTGCACTTTAATCTTGTGAATTTTTCCTACGTATAGCTGGTAATTCCATTAGCTGTCCAGGATGATCTGGACAAAGCTGTGGAGCTCCTTGATCGCAGTGTTCACATGAAGAGCCTCAAGATTCTGCTTGTTGTTCATGGAAACACACAGGTGTGTTAAGGCATTATGTAAATTTGTATAT